GGGACTGGGGTTCAATTTCCAGCGTGCTCTGCCGGCCCCATTCCCAGGGTGCGCTGAGACAGCTACTGAGACTGGGCCTGGTGGTGTGCACCTGGAATCCCAGAGCTTGTGAGGCTGAAAACAGGAAGATCACTACGAGTCCGATCTGTTTAGTAAGACACTGTAGACCCTGTACTAAATACAATAAAAAACAAAAAAACAAAAACAAAAAAAAATAAAAATACTTTTACCTGTTTCTTTTTAGTTTAAATTTAATTTATTTTTTCCTGTATTTTAGGGAGAGTCTACAGGGCGTTCAGGGTCTAACTACTAGATCAGACTCACAGTGAGTCTCCTATTTACAGCCTCCCAAGTGCTGGGATTACAGGCGTGTGCCACTCGCTCAGTCTCAATCGCTGTCTCAGCATGCCCTGGCGGAGGGGCTGGCATGGAAGGCCTGGGTATGCCCCTGGCCCCTGTGCCTGCTTGTAGGTGCTTTAATCTGCTGAGCTATTTGGCTGGCCCTTCTTTTTAGTTTTTAAAAGTGGTTAATAAAAAGGTTTGGCTACCTTGTTTCTATTACATTTATGAGGGACATGCTGCTCGAACTAAATAATGTATTAAGAAAATTGATGAACAGTAACATTACTTATCTTTAACTAGTAAGACAATAAAAAGTATACTCACTTCATCTGTGAGTTCTCCAAATACTGTTATGACATCTATTAAAAGGCTTGCAGTATAGAAGGACTTGATCATATTTCTGGAACAGTAAAAAGAACTGGTCTAGTTTAAATGAAAAATATTAACATGTAGTAGTACTGTCACACAAGAGAAAATGCCAGTATTTATGAAAGTACCTTGAAATTAATGTTTTCAATAAAATCTAAGTTTGAGATACAATGGAACTCTTTCATTAATGTTATTAGAAAAAAGCAACAATATTCAATTACAAGTAAATACACTAGGATTTTATTGTATGATTCTGAATTTAGGAAATTTAAGAGTATTATGTTATTCTATTTCGAGCCACAATGCATTTCTTTGTATTTAGATATTATCATAATAATGAAAAAATATTTGAATTGCTTGGAGAGTTCTTAAAACCAACATTATTGGGTCAGACTGTGATTGGTTAAAATCAACACTTTAAATTGTACTACATGTTAAATATCAGCTTATAAGGGAACATTTACTAGTGTCTTGGTAGTTTTCCCTTCAGCCATTTTCATTAAAAAGTAAGGCCCACATTCGAAACTAAAAATCATTGAGAATCTCACAAAGTATTAAAAAATAAAACAAAACAAAGCCCTAGATAATCAGTATCCAAACTTATACAATAATAGTTACACTCCTCTCTCCTTACTTGTGAAATCGCCCAGCACGATCTTCATTGTCTGCATACAAAAACATTTTCAAAGCATAATTCTCCAAATGAGCAGAACCAACTATTTCTTGTGTAATAGCTTCATTATCACCCAACTGTTTCTTAAGCTAAAATAAAAATCACACGGCTATGAGTCTGTATGATCACAAAGGTCTACTTAAGCACAAATAATTCTAATGATTAAGTAAATTACTTTATATTCATTCCATAAGACTATCATTGAAATCTTCCCAAAATAACATTGCTCTATCTCAGCCCAAAGTATTTAAAATGAAATTTAATTCTCATACAACTATGAATAAATTCATAATCTAAAAGCACAATTTAACTCTAAAGATCAAAATAAAGAAGAATAAAAAGATAACATATAGCCAGGTATCTTTGTGAAGACAAATATTTCTAAATAATAATATACCAAATACTGTTACTATAAAAGGAAATTAGAAAATTCTTACTTAAGCACACATACTTTTTAAAATATATTCTCATTTCAATTTCTTCTATAAATGTAAAACTCTAAAACTCGAAGGACCATTACTGTCCCTAGTATAGAGCAATGTTAAAAACACAACTATCTCTATGTAAGGTACAAGATGACAAACTCAGAATCAGAATAGGGAAGCTTCTTAAATTTAGATGCCTCAAATTAACACAATTTATAATTCTATAAATTGTCAAGTTTGTATAAAGCTTTACTATACATACAGTATTTTAAAAAACATGTGCTTTCTACTCAATATTGTCATAATAGAATAAAACAATTTTCTGTAATTTCAAATTTAAGCATCATATTGTTTTTTAAAGATTATTTTTTTTCAAAGATGTTATAAAGTGAAAATTTAAATTTAAAAATGGCCTCAGTCAGCCTCAACTGCCTAGTGAGTAGAAGACAAGCCTGAACTAAATAAACAGCAAGACACTGTCTCACAACAAATAAAGCTTCAAAATTTTTCATAAAACAAAGGAAATACTCTCATAATTAAAAGAGTACTTTAATGTTTGCAACATTTAATTTGTGAATGCAAATAAAATTCTAGACTTAAATTCTATAAACGTTTCACTGCAAGTATAGTGTGCTATTTCATCTTCAGTAGAAACTGTGGCAAGAAAACTAATGTATTTTAAGCTTTTATATAGTAAAACAAACTATGACAGATGGAAGAAACTTACCCTACTTGTTATTTTAATTCCTGAGTAGTTATTCCATTAATAGATTTTTGGCTCTGTTCATTATAATAAAATAATTGTCTTTTCCAAAAGCTAATGTCTTTGCTTTTTGTTATACAGTACAATGAGATTAAGAAAGATATATTCTCTATAAAATCTCTTTGGGAGATGGAATTTTAGAAATATAACTACCATATGTGAGTACATTCTCCCTCCAGTCCTAAGACATGCCCCTCAAGACTATTTAAATTTTTCTTGTATCTTGAGAAATAGTATTAAAGAGAAAAGTTCAGATAGGCTCCAAGGGCCGCTGAATTTCCTCCTTGGTCACCAGGTCCTCTGTGGGTGGCTATACCTAGCAGATGACAAGATTTCAGAAGCAGAAGGCCAGAAAGTCACACCAAGTTAGAATACCACCACCCATGGCTTCTCAATATAACCAGCCAAGGAAGTTCTTTCTTACAACAGGCTTTGATCTGAATAACTTTCCCATGATAAAGGAAAAAAAAAAAACAAAAACAAAAACAAGGAGCTCTGGGTTGGCTAGTACGTATGTAATAATTTTATGTACCTGATCAAATAAACATGTTTCAGCAGGGTGTGATGGGAAGGAAGTGCCTATACTCCCAGCAGTCTGGGAGGCTAATGCAGAGGACTGCAAGTTCAGTCCTTCATGGACGACTTAGTGACTTAGGAAAAGTCTATTTTAAAATGCAAAACAGAAAGGGATTGGAGATGTAGCTCAGTGCAATCCCCACTAACACCCCAACAAAGTTTCTAATTTTGAATCTTTAAGCAAATAGAAGGTAAGCCACAGTAGCAGTGCTGACAGTCATGGAGAAGGAGATGCAGTGTTGTGGACTAAGAGAAAAACCAGGGAGAGATGGGCTTAGGAGTAGCAGGGTAATGCCCTGATTACAGGAGTGAGAACTGTGGCTAGAACCACATTCTTCATGCACTATCACCCACCAACTCATTCAGTTTCTCTCCACAGTGAGCTGGGAGATTACAGCCACAGTCAGGGATCTTGTCACATTCCTGCAAGGACGGGAAGGCTGGCTGGACCAGAAGAGCATCTTGCCCTAGCACTAACACAGGCAGTAAGGACAAGCAGTTGATACCATGTCCTTGGTCCTCTCACTAAAGAAATAAGCCATTCCATTACAAAAGCTACTTAAAAATTCCTGATCAATCATCCAGGAGACTGCATGAAGAAAGAATATACCAAAGGCCAGATACAGCAGTGTGGAAAAAGATTCAGCATCTATGTGAAGATATCTGAAGATACTTTATAGTACAACTCCTCTAGAAATATGGTGTAACTTTATTATAAAGATCTATGTGTTTATTCCTCAGATAATATAAAGACATTGCTGAATGCGATCAAGAGAAAGAAGTAATGACAATACCCACACATTTCACACACAAAAAATAAAATGGCACTTTAAATATAATCAGAATAAATTATCTTTAACTTACAGCTTCTAACTGATCCATTAGCTTTGATAAAAATTTACGACACTCCGGAGTTTTACTATCAATCTTCATTCCAGTTTGCATAGCATATAACCGACCTACAAAGAAAAGAAAATTTAGTTGACACAATCAAGCATACTTAACAATTTCCTTTCAAGTGACTGAATGTTTAAATTATGTACGTTTTGCCTAAAAATAAATTTAAATTTATTTATTTATTTATTTATTTATTTATTTGGGCAGAACTGTGGATTGAACTCAGGCCTTCGCACTTGCCAGGGAAACGCTTGTTCCACTGAGTCATTTCCCCAACCCCCTCAATTTAAAATTTAATCACAATTAAAATATAATTTTGCTTTCCCATGGTTTTACTTATAAATGCCAAGAACACAAAATTACCCAAATAATTTAAGAAATAATTTGAAAACCATAATAACACGTCACCAGGCAAGACCTTCTATAGTAGAATATTAAAAAAGAAAAAAAGATTAGATAGATTCTTAATTGTCTAAAGGAACGACAATTTAATTAACAAGTTAAGACATTCACACACCATGGAACAGAGAAAAAGAGTCTTGAACTGGGGTTCACAGGGAGAAACATTTTAGGCATTTTTATGCATACTGTCTCTCTGAAAAAGTAAACTTCTCTTGAAAATTTGAGTATTAGAGACAAGACTAAAACTAAATGTGGTAACAAGCACCATCATTTTAACAGCTTTTTTTCTGTATTTTAGGGAAGGGTCTACAGGGTGTTCAGAGTCTCACTACTAAATCGGACTCCTGGTGATTGTCCTGTTTACAGCCTCCCAAGAGCTGGGATCACAGGTGCACTACCTCACCCAGTCTCAATTGCCCACTCAGCACACCCTGGGGGTGGGGCCAGCACAGCAGGGCCAGGGACTGAACCTCGGCTCTGTGCCTGCTTGTAGGCACTTTAATCTGCTGAGCTAGTTGGCCAGCCCTTAACAGCTTTCTTAGTGATAATACCAATGGACCATGTGGGTAGTAACTACTGTTACACTGTACAGGTAAGTCTGTAATTCACCACTTGCATAAATTCAACAGTATTGTGCTGGCCAGATAGTTCAGCAGACTAAAGTACATTCTTAGGCAGAGCGTAGAGGATGGTCCCCTGTGTGCTGTGCTGGCCCTGTCCCCAGGGCTCACTGAGACAGAGGTTGAGGCTGGGTGTGGTGGCGTGCACTAGTAATCTCAGCACTTGGGAGGCCGAAAATAGGAAGATTACTTGGAGTCTGACCTACATAGTAAGACCCTATAGATCATGTACTAAATAAACCAATAAAAAAATACAACAATATGTCTTGGGGATCAGCATTAGCACTGCCATTTCCAGAACTGAATCATTTTAACAACACACATCTACACAGTTCTCAAATTTTCATTTTTACAAATGATGTTTTTTATAGATACAAATGATACTACCCTACCTTACCTTCCTATGCACATATGCAATAGCTCCCCAGGCTGGACACCACGGAGCAGGCGGAGCTCCTAGCCCTGGTCTGGTCTGCCTTTTTCATTTTACGAGCTATTTCTAGATGCCCTTTGAAATTAGCACCAATATGTGTTATATCTATGATATACTTAAGCACTGATTTTTTCAAGTTCACAAAAAAAATTCAACTTAAATTCTTGTCAATCTGAGGATTCAAAATGGTACCCCACTGACTATTAAAAAGGTCTTAGATGGGGCTGGAGAGATGGCTCAGTTGTCTAAAGCACCTACTTAGAACAAGCTTGGCAAAGCACAGGGACCGCGGTTCAATCCCCCAACACCACATGCCAGCCAGCCCCGACCCCTGGTGGGCTGAGCTGGCCACACACACACACACACACACACACACAAATAAATGAATAAATTTAAAAAATAAAATAAAATAAAATAAAAAGGTCTTAGATATTTGTTAGATAGCTCTACCTTTTTTTGTGAGTCAGGAGTGGCTACATAAAAAACATTTATCTAAATTGCTCTTTGTTTAACAAATAGGATTGTAGGGATTCTTTATAACACAGAAGAACAACCCTCCACAGAGAATCTTGTGAAACTATCCCCACTGTCCCACTTTTCTTTTAAAACCATACAACCATCTTCTGTTTACCTCTATTCGGTTTCTATCCTAACTAGAATTAAAACTCCATGACAATGGGGATTCTAATTATTTAGTTTTCTGCTATATTCCTGGCATCCAGACTAATGCTGGGCCCTCAACAAACATTTTCTGAATAGATAAATGCATGAATGAAAGAATAGCTCATTCTCCTCCACTGATTTAAATGTCACTTTTATCATTCATTATCATATATTATGTTTCCATGGGACAATGGTGCCCAATGATCTACTCTACTGTTTTATTTACTAGAGCTGTTAAACAGGGCTTAGAGTATGTTAGTTTCCTTGGAATTTCCAATTCAGTTATGTCTACCTGATAAAATCATGTTTTAAAAATGTAGATAGTAGGCCTGGTGTGCCAGTGCACATCTGTAATCCCAGCACTCAGGAGGCTGAGGGAGGAGGACTACTGTGAGTTCAAGATCAGCCTGAACTGCATAGTAAAATCTAGCCTCAAAAAGACAAACAACAAGGGACAGTAAGATAGCTCAGAGCACTACGCTCAGGGACAGAGCTTTGATCCCCGATACCACGTGACAGCCAGCCATGGAGACCAGGCTTGGTGGCACACATCTATGATCTCAGCATAGGGGAGGCTGAAAACAGGAGGATTACTACTAGTCTGAGCTATATAGTGAGATCCTGTACCAAATACATGGAAAAAATAATAAAGACAAACATCAAGTATATAGTTACTTATTAAATGTTTGGTTTTAATTTCAGTGATTATTTTCCTGAAAAAATTTTAATGATTAAGCTTTTAGGGTTATCTAGGTCACACCTTGGAAATTTATTTTATTAATGTATTTATTTCCTCCTGTCAAATTTAAGGATTTGATCCATCTAAGTATTTAAGAAAAGGAAAAAGTTTCAAAAATGTCATACAGATTTTCACTTCCGATGCTATAAAAGCACCACATGTACTCAAGCTAGCCACGGACCTCATTTTGACACACAGACACTATTCTGAGAAGCAAACAAAACAGCAATGAAACCTCAACACCACAGTTTAAATATGTACTGCTTTGCTCACTGCTTTGGAAAGTGACTAAATCAATCTCCCTTCCCTTCCCCTTTGGTCTTCTCTTTACATAACCAGCCATATTGTTCAGTAAGGTCTTTAGGTTCCTATCCCATTTTCCAGTCTAATCAACTGCCCTGACCCTCATGGAAGGACAGTTGCACACCTCTCTTTTCCAAACCACTTGTATCTCTGGCCACTTTTTTTCCATGCACTGTCCATGTTGGTTCTTCCAGGGTTTGTGTTGCATTTCTGTTTTTAAAGTACATCACATTCTTGAGATAATAAAAAAATTGACTGCAACTACTATGCCCACCCTTTTTTTTTGAATACCGTTTCAAAATACAGAGGCTTAACATGCTCACATTTGCAAAATTATTAGTGCCTTTTTCCCTCTATCAAATCTAAGCTTAAGTTTTTAACCTCCAAAATCTTAATATTCACTTATATAATTTTTCTGGTTTCCAACTGTTTTATTTTTCAAATTTAACTATAATTTGTACCTTGGCCCCAAGAGAATAGCATCTATTCCAAAATCAATAATAATTTTCCTAATAATTTTTGTGGGTGCTTCTTTTTTATTTTTTATACTTTGCAGCTATTTACTTTCAGAGATCCTGAATCAAATCCTCCTTACATGATGATGTCTATAAATAATAATACATTCTCTCCAAATTTAATTTATGTAGATTATCAAAATTTCCTGAAGGGCACTGACTGTCCTCCTTATTTGGAAGGCATGATGGGTGGTTCAGTGTCATGTCACATTCTATGCCAAGTTGCTCTTATTTCTCCTAAGAGAATCACCATCCTTAGCTGTATTGAAGCTGAGACCTTTGAGACCTATATAATCCCAGGGACCTGCTAAATAATTGACTGGGGTAGGGAAAGAAAATATTAACATTTCTAGTGGTATTTTTATGTTCTCTTAAATCCTTTATTTTTATGTCTCATACTACAGTATACCAATACATGATGTACAATAAATCATACACTAATATATTGAGATTTGTAGTCAACATTTTGTTTTTAAACTCATAAAGACACATGACACAAAGGATGAGGATCACTGCTCTATGCATTCCCAAGCCTCTCAACCATGAACTACACGCTCTTGGTCTAACCTAGCCCAGGCCTCTTCTTCACATCACCATCCCATCTACTCAAGTCCCTTAGAACTACTAGTTCATGATTATCATACTCTGTGATAGTTCCTCTAGTCTGTTCAGCTCCAGTGTTCATCTTGTACTACATACAACCCTGGAAAGAGAAAAAAACTGAGCTAGCTGCTAAGTTTGAAACCAGAATGAGCTTTGGTCCATGAGAACATCATGGAGATGGAATAATGGCAATGGATCTGGCCAATATAGAAGACTCTTAAAACAAAGGAGTGATTTCTTATTTTACTCTTATTTACTATTATTTCAGATTTCCTGCAATAAGCTAGCAAATCTAATTTGAATGTAAACCTAGCAACATGTTTTTTTGTTTGTTTGTTTTTGTAACATGTTGTTACTGAGCCCAATCATTTGATATACTCTCCTTCACACACTGGCCATCCATAATTAAGTCACCCTCCTTAAACTGCTGTACAACCAAAATAAGTGTATCAGGTAGCCACTCTTTGAACTCTTGCTCCCAATACTTAATAATGCACATTACTACACGTTTCCAGTTCACTGCCTTTTTAAACTTCTTAATTATAGTCTTCTTTTGCTTTATCTTTTCTACCAGTTTTAACCTTTTTTTTTTTTTTTTTTTTTTGGGCAGGCGGTGGAACCGGGGATTGAACTCAGGCCCTTGTACTTGCCAGGTAAGGACTTACTCTATTGAGCTATCTCCTCAGCCTAGTTTTAACCTTAAAATGCATTTTTCAACAATGTCAGTGTCCTTTGTCCTTCTATCTCTAAATTATTTTATTATATTCCTTTGATAAAAAAATAT